GAACCTCCAGTACTTTCACTCCATCTCCTACAAGATTGAGGAGATCTCACCAAGCACATTAAAAAACAGCCTGTTCCCATCTCCCATCAGTTCAATCTCCCCTGGATTGCACAGCTTTACGGACCATCACAGGCTGATGAGACGACGGAAATCTATTTGAAGGCACTTTGTTGGCAGGGATTGGTGGGTGGGTGGGTGGCGTTTGTTTCCTAAGATTATTATTTTTTAAAACAAACAAACAAAACAAAAAGAACCAATTCCTCTAGTGAACCAGAGTGAGGTTAACATAAATCCAGGAGGAAAAAAAAAAAAACAGGAATTCAAGGGAAGGACACTACTCCCCTGAAACTCAGCTCTGGCGCACGAAGCACGGACAGACTTATTTTCCAGCAAAAATAATGCCTTACAATTTCCCTTCCCTCTGGGATCCGCGATCTGAGGTGATGGGAATTGGGTATTTAAATTCCAAAGTTACACACCTGTGAGCTTTCTGGTGCCCTTTGGCACTCTTTGACCTAAAAAAAAACACAAACAAAAACAAAAACCTCTTTCTTCTCCTTCCTAAGCAGGTCGTGATGTGTGTGAACTAAGGGTGTGTGTGCGAGTGTTGAGTGTGTGGGTACGGGTGCACACGCACAATTCCACTACTAGTGCCATGTGACTAACAAAAGTATCTTATCGAAGCATCAGGTATATCGTTTTGATTTTCTATCTATTCTTCCTCTGGAGAAATTTGTGTTCTGGCCTGCTTTCTTTGATTCCCAAAAAAAAAAAAGGGGGGGGGGAGAGAAATGAAAAAAAAAAGTGGAGGCGATAGGAAATAGCTGCAGTTTTCCAGTTTCTTTTTTCTTTTTTTGCTGAGTCAAGCATGCAACTGTAAATGGTCAATTATACCGAGCGAATCCTTGTTAAGTTCTCTCTGTTTTTTAAAGGCTAGATTTTATTAGATTGTATTCACTTTTTTTAAATTCGTCTTTAAGAACAAGGCAGGAAAGGGAGATTACTTTTGCTTGCCAGGTCAAATCCTTCTGGAAAATATATAAATATACATATATATATATATATATTTTAAAAAAAATACAAGCATGCATTTTGTAAAAAACGGATATGCATTATGAACATACGCAAGGAAAACAAGGATGAAACCGACGCTCGGAAGCAGCGTGTGGATTTTAAATGATTTTTCTTTAACTTTCCGTCGGTCTTTCAAATATCCACCAGGCTGGTAGAGCTCTCTGTTGTGTGTGTGTGTGTGCGATTTGAGGAACGGTCAGAACGAATGGATGTTTTATCTATTTATTTAATTTATTTATTTATTTAAAAGGTCTTATTTATTTCGCTTTTGTGTTTTTTTTAATGTCGTCGTCCGTTGTTAATTTTCCTTTGGTGTGAGTTGTCATGAGTTTGCCTGGCAGGGTGTTTGCGTGTTTGTCGGTGTACAGTTGTAACCTGCATGCACAGGAATTACGTATATCTGGGAATGCTTGAACAAGAATGGTACCTGGAGGTGGATGAATATTTTTATTTTCTCACAAAAGAAGACAGGGTATCCCTTGTTTTGAATAAAAAAAGAAATGGATATTAATAATAATACTAGTGGGGGGGGGAACGATGGCTGATCTCAGGAAGGATCCCCCCCAATGCTTTGTGCTTTGACTTGCTGAAGATATGATGTAGGCCAAGTTTTTTTTTTTTTTTTNCTCCTTCTTCTTCTTCTTCTTCTTCTTCTTCTTCTTCTTCTTCTTCTTCTTCTTCTTCTTCTTCTTCTTCTTCCCAGAAATGCAGTGTCTACTTTTTTAGACTAACTGAAAAAAGTGTTTTTAATAATAAATTAAGCCTGTTAATTATGAACTTTATGATGGCTAATGAAATATTATTAACAATAATGATGTAAATGTATATGCCACATGACTCCCAGTGACTCTAATTCTGCATTGCAGGATGAAAAAGAATATTAAGCATTTTTCTGAGGTGGAATCATTTCAGGCAGTTCATGAGTCCCAAACATTCTCTCTAAAAATGCTCCATATAGGAAATTAATTTGATGTGGTTGAAGCCAACCCTGGGAAACTGTGCATGGAGTAAATGATGATTTGCAAATGGTTCATTTCCAGGTAATGAGGAATCTTGCTCCTTTGAAAAAAGTCCTTAGAAGGGGTGGACCCTAACAATCAATTCAAGGCTGGAGAACTTCCTGTGGCCAGAATGGCAGCTGTATTTCGGAGTCCACATTTTTCCGATTCTGTGGACTACAATGAACATATACTGTATGGTACCCGGTAGTAGCCACAATGACATCACCTATATAGGTAGACAGTGCCAATTGAGAACAAAATTTCCATCACTAAGTGATGTGATCATAAAGTGAGGGTATGCAAAAGGTGAGGAATCCTTGGTGCTTTCTGAGCTTGGATGTCCCAAAGGTGCTTTTTCCAACTTGGTTTTTTCTTTGAAAATGTTTTACTTCTCATCCAAGAAGCTTCTTCAGTTCTTCTTGAATGAGAAGAGAAATGTTTTCAAAGAGAATACCAAGAAAGTCCAGTTGTCTTTGGGGGAAAAAAAAGAACCTGTGGGACAGCTATGAGCTGGATGATTGAGAACGGGGGTCTTCAAACTTGGCCCTTTTATGACTTGTGGACTTCAACTCCCAGAATTCCTCAGCCAGGCATGCTGGCTGAGGAATTCTGGGAATTGAAGTCCACAAGTCATAAAAGGGCCAAGTTTGAAGACCCCTGTCTTAAATCTAACAAACAAAATGGAGGCTGGCTGAGAAATTCTGGGAGTTGAAGTCCACAAGTCATAAAAGGGCCAAGTTTGAAGACCCCTGATTGACAATCTCCATAGGCAGGTTTACTCCCTTGTTCATAGTACTGAACCTCAAGACGATGTGCTAAAGCTGAACAGTGGGATTCGGAACCCCACCAATTAATCAGAATTGAAGAAGCTTCTTGGATAAGAAGCAAAAGGTTTTCAAGACAAACCCCCACCCACACAAAGAAAGTCCAGTTGACTTCTGGAAAAAAACACTTTTGGGATAAGGGAGTAGACCATCTCCCTCTCTCTTTTCTCAAACATTGTAATCTTTCCTCATATCTCGAGGGCTCTAGTCATGTCATCCTTCTCCTCCCCCTCCCCCGGTTGCAATCCTCCCTCTTCCATCACTTATCCATGTTGTCCTTTTGCTTCTCCAGGTTACGGCCACGCTGCCCCTGGGACGAATGCAGGGAAGGCCTTCTGCATGTGCTACGCTGCCCTGGGCATCCCACTCACCCTTGTCATGTTCCAGAGCCTCGGCGAACGCATGAACACCTTCGTCAAGTACCTCTTGCAACGGATGAAGAAGTGTTGCCGGATGAGAAGCACCGAGGTCTCCATGGAGAACATGGTGGCCGTCGGCTTCTTCTCCTGCATCGGCACCCTCTGCATCGGAGCAGCTGCCTTCTCTCATTGTGAAGAGTGGACCTTCTTTCAGGCCTTCTATTACTGTTTTATCACATTGACTACAATCGGGTTTGGAGACTACGTGGCCCTTCAGACGAAAGGAGCCCTTCAGAAGAAGCCGCTCTACGTGGCCTTTAGCTTTATGTACATCCTGGTGGGATTAACCGTCATCGGGGCTTTCCTCAATCTGGTTGTTCTCAGGTTGTTCATGAACATCGAGGAAGAGAGACGGGAGGCTGAGGAGAGGGCCTCCCAGGCGGGAAACCGGAGTAGCATGGTGGTCCACATCCAAGAAGACTCTCAACATGGCCGCCCACGGTACAAGG